ATAAAACTAACTTTATATCACTTATTCAAAATTATGAATGAACATACCATTATGTTTGCTAGTTCGAAAATTATAGTAATCTAAAATATTTGAAATTAATAAATGTTGTATATAAATATATATTGTTTCTAACACATACTTTTAAGCAATTCTTTCATAGATTACATTTTTTCCCGTAGTTTTGAATTTTTGGATTTTCACATTGTTCAATGTGTTGTTCCAGAAGTACGAAGCACAGAAATATTGATCGATTCTACATTCATATTATGATTATTCGAAACTCTCAAACTGTAGTTGATCATGCGATAATTTGTGTTTTAGTTGATTAGTTTGCTACCAAAGGAATTTAATAAGATCAAAGTTTAAAGAAAGAAACTTTCCCAATAAGTCCTTGAAATATTACTTTAAGATATATCATGCATATGAACGAACACACTAAATCTACTAACTCAGAATAAATTAAGTGAAATAAAATAGTAACCTCATCTAATAAAAAAAAAAGAAGACATATTTTAAATAATAGTGCTGCTTCAACGATACGTCTGCAATTCTTATACCCCTGAATCAGTTGAAAGATTTGTCAACATAGACCTTGCAACAAACTTTAGCAACTTATTATCAGATAAAATCTCCAAAGTAACAGGAAATGGAGAATTATCTACTATCAGTGTTGGAACTCTTTCATAAAATGACTGCTTTCAAAACTTCTATTGTGCAACTTATACACCAGCTTCCACCAAATGGTACCAGGAAAAGAAAATTCTGATAAAGCAAGATGATTTATCTTATGGTTCAGAGAAACAGTACATTTTTCATGCTGTTCATTATTGTAACATACATGATCCTTTTTCCAAGATATAACTTTGTATTTCATAACTGAGGGAACTGGAATACATGAGATACCGTATGTCTGTAGAATATATATACAGGGTGGCCAAAAAATGTACCCATCCTATAATGATGTTAGAAAAACGCGTAAGTTCAAGAAGTCTTGATAGAAATGAATAAAAACCCTATGACCCAAGCGCTTCCGAAAGGTGGACCATTCTTCTTCTTCAGAAGCATGCCCATCCTTTATGTTATGCAACTTCCGTATATCGATTCTAAAAGTTTTATTTTCATTTTACATAATATTGGAGGATGTCTAAAAAGAAACCTAAAACCATCGACGAATTAAAGCAACAGATCAAAAATATTTTCCATCGAATCAGAGTGGAAAATTGTCTAACAGCATGTCAGGTACTCCGTCGTAGATGTCATGTTTGTTTGAATGCTGGTGGAACCAAGTTTGAACATCTCAAATGATACAGTAGTGTATGTACAGTTAGTTTGTTGTATGAAATATTAATAAAGATATATTGTTGGTTTATAGGTTCATTTACTATAATCATGTGAGCATTTTAAATGTGGGTACATTTTTTGAGCTGCCCTGTATATTTCTGTGTCTGTGTGTGTGTAATAATGCTACTTATAGCTACTAAAGTTCACCACCTTTACTGCAGAATTTCTTACACAATTGTAAAACATATAAGATACTCCTGTGTATTTATAATGTATTTATATAAACATACTTCATTAAGACTGGAATTTTTCCTTTCATTTCACATAAAAAAAAAGTTTGTTTAAACATAAAATAACATTAAACATTATTATATAAGTTTCTTATTAAATGAAAAAAGTAACATGCCTACTTGAAACCTTGTTATGGCTTTATCTATTTGTTCATTATAGATCAGTATTTTGGTAAACTAGCGCTGATCCTTCCAGTTATCCTGAGACGTTATATGTGGTTATCCCGAGAAGTTATATGCAAAATATTGCATAGAAGTTTCTTTACCAGCCCACTACGATACTAAAACTGTTACGGTGAATCATTTTGGCAGGAAGCACTAGCAGCATGTCTTTTAGAAATATTTTTGCTCACATACTCAACTCCGTAAAAGGCTTTAAATATGTTTACATAAATATCCTTTACTTTTTGTACTTCATGTGAATCAAGTATTCCGGTAAATTGTCAAAAGAACTAATCATGTAACAATCTATAGTTAAATCATATTATTATAATATTATATAAAATGGAACTTTTTTATGGTAAACACATGGTACATGTTTTGTAGTTCAACAACCTGTTTTATTTTTATACATATATTGACAAATAAGGCTAACATCGCTAACTAATATCATTGTTCTTACCATATTTCCGAGAAGAGTCTACATATTTTCTCAGAAATGCTGTGGCCAATCAAATAGTGGCCGAACCAGTCGATGTTGTATTTGCCTTGTGGCAAAAAGTTTTGAAAGTTTAGAATGTTGTTCAGACGCAAAATTACAGAAAGCAGTAGTCAGTAAGTGATCAGAAAATGTGCAGGTAAATAAATTGTATCTATAAAATTGCCTTTATTTACTCTATTTACAAATATGAAAATCCTGACAGGTACAATATATAGATTAACACTAACATGTTAAATTCACGTGCATATCGATATTTCTACGGCAGATATATTGGTGTATAAATCTTCAAAGAAATGCATCTGCTGTCCTTACTGGAGAGACCGTGGACTCTCGTCCTTCTACTCCAGACATTGAGAATTCAGAGATTAAAGGACTCTACTGTATAATTTGCCCAACTATCTTTGAAACAAGATGTATTTGGATTATTACTCTAGGATGTCTACTTTGGAACCTCTAAAAATTTCTTCCGTAACATGGTTTCTCGTTTTTCTTAATATAATAAATGTAGTTATGTAAAGCAGTGTATAGCTTGAATGGAACGCGAGAGAGGGATGTGTCTCAAACAAAACAAATAGTTTGTACACGTTTTTCATTTCGCAAACTAATCCACAAAAGAACTTATTATTCTATCATACAGCAAGGTTGAAAAAATATATTTTATAAATTTTAACTGGTACAAAAGCTCATTATATTTCTACTTTAATTACTATCAGCCGTGATTATTGTTATCAGGTTTTGAAGTATAAAATATGAACAGCTATTACTATAACAACTGCCTGAAGCAAAATCAGAATGCTAACCAGTTCTTGTTTGAAATATACTGTGAAAATTTTTTACCACAATAATGAATGAACCTTACATCAAGAGGGACACTGACACGACTACGATAGCTCCATTTATTTTAGTAAAGCCTTGACTGATATCAAGTTGAATATATATACTTGAATCGACATTAGGTTAATATACATCTTATTTCATTTGTAATTGTGGAGTAGTTTGAATTGTTAAAAATACCTTACTAGCAATTGCTAGTTGGTTAACCCTGTAGCTCAGTTGGTAGAGTACTCGCCTTGTGTGCCGAGGAAGTAATAAAATTAAAATTATACACAACCCTAAAATAAGACTGGTAGTTTAAGTTAGATGTGAAAAAACTGCCTTACTAGGAATTGCTACCGTGGTAACTGTTTGGCTCAATTTATAGAGTACTCGTCTGGTGTATGAAGGGTATCGGGTTGGAGTCCAAGCCTGGGAATTAATAAATTCGAAATTATTACACTTGCACACTACATTGGATTATGATATCGGTAGAAGTATTCTGCTATGCTTCCTACTGTCTTCCCGACGCATTTACAGTGTTCACAACCTGTTTACGAGGAAGTGATTCTCACGATAATGGCATTCTTGAAACATAATATTTTCCGTGTTTATCACCAGATGACTTTATTCTCCTGAGGAAGCCAAGACCACAGCCAACGAGTACTACAACGTAATTTCTGTACAGTTTTGATTGGTATAAATATTATATTGAAACTGTTTACATAATTGACATTTTAGTATCTAAAATAATGATAATGAATTCTAATTCACTTTCAAGTTGGGCCACAAGCTACAAAAAGAAATATAAATTTTAAGATGATTACAACTTTATAGTTCATCCTAATTTTCCAACATTACTGTTACACTCTTCAAATAAATTTCAATGATTAATATTTTCTTAAGTTTTCATTTTTACTAGTTTACTCCTATCTTAATTCTTTATTTTCATTTAGTCGAGGTGTGTTCTTTGGTCTTTTCGAATGGTTTAACTAGAAAACTTCTGAACACTTGGCGGTGAAATCTTTGACAATTCAACACCGAACTTGGTTGGTAATCTTCCACGCATAGGAGTAGTCACGTGATTTCTTTGTCACGCTTTTGTTGCACAAAGTACGTGTAAGCCCTCCTGCAAATACGATTAGCAATGCGCATGCGCAGTAACATCGATTCGCCTTCCGAATTTTATACGACAAAGCGGATGTTATTTAGCATTCAAGGTTGAGGTAAAAGTAGCTGAGATACGAAGTGCGGACGAGCTGTTTGATGTCTGTGTCTAAGTGCAGCTTTGAAATAATTTCTTTTAACATATACAGTATTTAAACTAATGTTAATATAAGTTATAACACTTCTGAAAATGTGTGACAAAAGTATTCATATCTTGAGTGTTGGACAACTAACCTACAACAAACAAGGTTACTTCTGACTAAGTTCTCTACATCACTGAAAACCGGTAAGCTTTTAATTGAAATATTAATTGTAAAGTAAGAACGTGTTATTACTATAGCTCTAAATACTAAACGCCATACTGGCAAAAATTCTCTGAACCGTTACTAAAGTTACGAATTTTAGAAAAATGGTAGAAAAAAGCCTAAAACTACAAATATTGTACATCCTAACTTCCAGACTAATAGTAATAGTATTAGTAATAATATTATTAGGTTACGAATTTTTGTAATCTAATAAAAGATAAAAAAAACCCATAAAACAAGCTTAATCCTTAAGGATTCAACTAGATTTATAGTTCCACCGGGTAAGTGCACTGTTCCATCAAGCAACTTGGAACAAGCGCAATAAAATCATAAGTTATAATAATTCTTAATGGTGATTATAACATTAACAGTATAGTTTGTTGTCAAACTGGCGAATGATTAATTAATTTCCTGGGCCCATTTACTGTAAAATGGTAAAAAATACAAAATTATCATAAATACAAAATACTTCTGTTAACACTTTTTTTGCTTTAAACGCGACGTCTGTTTCGTAAACTGTGGTATGGGCTAGCATATATCATTATTATAACTTTAATATTTAATTTCTGTTGGTACATATACAAAAGTTTTAATAACTGTAATAAACGACCTTATGACACCAAATTTGTCATTTTTGTTATAATAGGACACTCACCGTTTCTTTTTACAGCTTTTTAAGGAGCGGTCCACTAAAACTAAAAGTAAAACAATCCATAACTGATTGTACAAAGAGTCGGTTGGTTTAAATAATAAAATTAAAATGAAGCTTTGCACTGTTTGTGTTTTAGTGGAACTCTTCAGAAGAAGCTGTAAAGCGAAACAGTGAGTATCCAATTAAATAAAAACAGGAACAAATTTAGCGTTATAAGGTAGTTATTACTAATATTATAAGCTTCTTTATAGACATATCGTATAACTAATTTAAAAATTAGAACATGTGCCATAATTTAGTTACGGCATCTTTATTTTGTAGAATGCTTCTAACATTTTATTCCTACTCCTAGAAAATGTAGCACCTACCGGTTGGAATAGGTAGTGATTTATTTTAAGTGATTTTATTAAGCTTACCATAATATATGTTCTATTTTCAGGATCTAGTAAGAATCCATCCCGACTTTTATTTTAAAAGTGGATTGTACGAGCCACATTTGAAAATCTAGACGTTTCTTTCTTCGAATGCTATCAATGAGATTGGTGTCTTGCCGATTTTTGAAGCAGCCATAAAAAGGTCGTTACGATGTTTGTTCGCCAGGAATTGAACCTTGTCTCAGCAGATATTAATCCTGAATAGATTTTGTTTTTAAATCGAAGCCTGTAAAGTGTGAGCATCAGGTAGCCCTTAAAGTTTTTTGGCTTGTGCCTGAACTCGCTTGTCTGCAGACTGCTGCTGCTTGTGTCTAATTGCCAATTTACGAGTTATACTTACAGTGCATCCTCCAATTTTTCGTAAAATTCAGTCACAAATTGCTTGCAGTTACCTAGGTAGAGGTGAGTTTCTTTTTTGGTAACAAAACATTTGATATAATAACACTTTTAAATTTGTAATATTAATAAGTTCATCAATGTAATTTATAAATAAGTAACTTTATAAAAAAAAATATATTGTTAAGAACAAAAACGTTTCTTTTAATTTTCAAATGTGTGTGTGCGAAATTTGCCAAAATGTTTTGTAATTTCAAAAGTTAGACATGAGTAACATTTTGTACGTGAAAATATGAAAATGATTTTTAAATTTTAACGTGAATATTAGGAGTGAAGTAAGTCGAACATTTTAAGTGCTACATACTAAGAATGAAGTGTTATTGTTGAGGAACTTTGTAGAATTATCTGTTTTTTTTCTAGAGGAATCGAAACTAACCTCTTGCAAGGCCAGTGAAAGTTTTTAAATTATAAATATAATTATAAAACGTACAGTATAAATTAGTTTTATTTTCTTGTTCAATGAAAATGAAAGAATGTTAACTTTTTTACGTGATTATAAAAGCATAAGAAACTGCCAAAAAACTACTTTAAACCAGATTTAACCTTAATTTTTGTTTCGATTTTGTGTTTGGGTGTATATTTATGTGAATATGTATAAAATCCAATAAACTGTAACCTTCTAAATTTAATAATGGTGTTTTATAGCCTGGAATTGTCTCGTTTACTTCCTATTAACTAAATACAAGAATATATTTTTTTATTCTATTATTATTATTTTTTGACAAAAAAAAATTAACTCTTACACTCGGGCATTCTTAGCGAATAAATTTAAAACTATTAGATTGCAGACAGGGGGTCCACGCTCCCATTGATTGTAAGACAGAAGGTGTAATTGTTACACTTGTTATAAACATGTTATTGATATTCATATCTGTAAAATAATCTTCTTGGCTGGATCTGACACACTGATTCATCAGGTGAGTTCTGAGGTGTTGACTTTAATTAACTAAATTGCTCCTACAGTTTTTTGTTAATGGGTTTTCCACTCTGTGTATAAATTATAAAAATCTGTTTTTATATGTAAGAAAATCATAAATACAAATCATTAAAAAATATATTTTTGTTGGCATTGTTTATTTGTTATGCCAACTTAAAAAAAATATTGTTATTTTACCTTTAATCACAAAGATTATTGCATATGTTTGAATAAGATTTGTTTATGTGTATATAAATACATAAATTTACTGATGAGAAAATAAGTGTTTTTTTAGTTTATTATAGTTTCACAAGTTCTTTCTATAAATTATTCAGTTAGGGGAATATACGTAAACGATGATTTGAAAGTGACAAACTGATAAATCACCATCGTACAAGTTTTTTTATATTCGTATCAGAATTGATATCACTCGTATTGATATATATATAACACTACATTTTTTTTAAAGTGATGAATTTTAAGAAGAGAAAGTGAAAAGCATAATTCTTTATGCATTGAATTATTTGTACATAATTATGTGTTCGTTAATTTTTTTGTGAACTGTTAAAGAACCTTTAACTTAATCTCAGATAATTTGTATGAGAGGTTTCATGTTATTACAAAAAAGTAAGATTTGTATTGTATATTAGCGTGAATAAAATAAACACTCCAGATAATGGCTGCTGTGTTCACGCACTTGGCAATAAATAGCTCAATCATGCTATCTCATAATACTTTAATAAAATACACGTAGTATATGTATTTTGGCAAAATGCCAGTTTTATTATGTAGGAGGTTTGCTTTCACAGAAGAAAGCTGAGATGTTGGAATATGTAGCGCGAGTTGCCGGGTGCTTTATTTAAGTGAGTCTGCGCATTAGTATTGGCATCTCGGGAAGTAAACAAATCCTTAACCCGGTATAAAGGACGTACGAAGCACCTGTAGTACTAATATAATTGAATTGCAAGTCGTACGAGTGCCGCGTTACTTGTGTGTGTCTTCCCACCAGCTAAAATTTTAACATTAAAAAGAATACAAGGATATAAAGCCAACTATCATCTCTTTGTATCTGTTGGATCATCTGAGATGGCATAGAAGTGTGGTTTTCAGCACTGAAAAGTGAAAATTCATTAGAAATTTGCGTGTGCGTTAGTTATTAAAAAGCCTTAATATAGTGTGTTCGACAGTGAAAAACTACTCCACATCGCGAAATGTGATAAATACAAGTGTTGAACGAAGTTTTAAATTTTAAACACTTTATCAACAATAAAATAACAATCAATCTTTTTTTGTATCAGATTTTGTTACTCTGCATCATCATTGATAAGATTCATGTCAACCATATTTATTCAGGTTATTGTGGCTGTGTCAACTAGACATTTCATAAGTCATTTGGTGTTCTTATTAAGAGATGAAATATCCTGTTGGACCCTTGTACAGCCCTTTGGCTGGATTTGACACACTGATTCATCAGGTGAGTTCTGAGGTGTTGACTTTAATTAACTAACTTGCTCCTACAGTTTTTTGTTAATGGGTTTTCCACACTGTGCATAAATTATAAAACTCTGTTTTTATATGTAAGAAAATCATAAATACAAATCATTAAAAAATATATTTTTGTTGACATTGTTTATTTGTTATGCCAATTAAAAAAAATTTATTGTTATTTTACCTTTTATCACAAAGATTATTGTATCTGTTTGAACATTGCAATCCATTCAAGTAAAATAGAAAAAAAAAAAGAATTCTGCTTCAGCTCAAACAGTCTGAGACATCTCATAAAAACAGCAAAGTAAAATAACTTGACATTACTGACATTGCATCATCTTTATTCATGTGTTGTAAAACTAAATTTATATTCCTTTTGGCTCCTAATCTACCAAAGAATTATTGCTGAGTTACACTTGAAACAATGTGATGTGGTGATTTAGGAACCAAAATGAATGTAAATTCAGTTTTACAACACATGAATAAAATTGATGCAATGGGAGTAATGCCAAATTGATTTGAGTGGCACTTAGTGTTTGAGCTAAAGCAGAATTTTGCTTTGTTTTCATTGCTTAAATATTTTTGGATAGACTTCAGGTATTTGTTTGTTAAACCAACCCAACACACTTGCACTGTTTGAATAGGTTTTTAAACTGAAGCAACTTGTACAGGGAACAAATATGTAAGTTAGGATATTGCAAATATTACATACATTATCAAGTAGATTATGTGGGATTGGAAGGAGTGTTACCTTTAACAGTGGGAATGTGTTAGAGTTAAAAGCAACAGTGACACCAGAAGGCGCTCTCATTCTGAGTTGAACAGAGCTATGCAAAATGAATATTGGGAATGAGAGTGACCATAAAAAGAGGAAGAAGGTATTTTTTATTAATCTACCCTTTCTCATTCAATGCTGGTTTGGCATACTTTCAAGAAGAAACACAACTAAAAAGAAGTAGATACTACTTCAGCTAAATAAACACAAATTGAATTTGTTGCTTTATGCCATTAGTGCAAGGATTAGCATATATTTGGAATATGCAAGCAATAAAGTAAAGATCCAGTGGCGATGCCCAGTGCAGCTTTTACTAATGCACGTGGTCGTCACCAATTTTTTTTTAGATGTTTTTTTGTGGTGAATAATGGTGAAATAGAAGTTATTTTGAAAGCATATTTTACATTTTTGACAACTGAACTCTCCTCTTGATATTCATACCACTAAAAAAAAAGAATATTTATACTAATTGTTCTTTTATTGCTGGATAAAGATTGGGTAACTTAATTTTTTGAAATTTTCAGGTAACTTCACATTGCTTTAGAATCAAAAGTAAGCAAAGCTGGTGAATTAAGTTTCATGAACCTGTTCTAAAGTTCCATAACACTCAGGATGAAGCAAAACACTTGCCATTTTAAGTTCTGGATAACAGTAATAAACATGCATATTTTATGCATAATGAGCAAACTAAGTAGATAGAAAATGCTACATTAGTTTTCTTTCTTCTTTACCTTTTTTTGTTTCGGTTAACAACTGCTATTTTATTTGTAGGTTTTTCACTAAGTTAATGGAGGTGTTTAAAAAAGTGCTAGACATTATTTTATGGTACAATGTCTATTTAAACCGATCCAAAATGCTTTCTAAAATGTTTAAGGTATCTTAGTGTTATGATTACTGATATTTCTGTTTGCTGATTCAGTCTCTTATCATTGTACTAGATTGCTAGGTTTATCTTCAGTGGAATAACTGTTTGGCAGATGTTGACTGTTAGTTGTTGCACTAAATCTGTGAAGCATAGCAGTTTTACTTGTAGAGATACATTTATGATTACATTTTATTTGTACATTGAAGTATGAATTTTCTCTAGTTCAAAGCAAATTTAACCTTATAAAATTCAACACTTTCATAACTGATTTAGAAAATTATGAAAGCAATATTTTCAATATCTACTAAGATTTTGTATCTGAACTTTCATTTTAGACCCTTGAAGATGGTGGAGAACAACGGGACAATTTGTCAAAGTTAACAGTAGCTTGCTGTAACAATAAAAACTTGATAATCCAGCCAAAAGCTTTTGGAATTCCACTAACTAAGTTAGTGAAGAAGACTTTTACAGAGTTTTCTGTTCCATTTGTTTTGATGAGAATTTGTCATTTTATTGAAGAAAAAGGTAACTTTGATTGCTTGTTTTGTGAAAGATTACATTAATAGTTTGTTGTTTCATGTGCATAATTTATGATGAGTCATTATTAATGTAATACTCTGTCCAATCCTATTGCAGACTAGGATGTGGACACTTTTGTATATTGTTTAATAAAATTTTTGTGATACTATCTCCCCCCCCCCAGGTATTTCATTAGATTTTTTTTTTAAACAATGTAGGTGCTGATAAGATTGATCTGTCACGGAGATCTAAAAATACGCAATTGGTGGAAAGCTTGAGAATAGCCTTTGATGAGACTGGGAATGCCCCATTGGAAGCAGAATGTGATGTATCAACTGCTACAGTTTTGCTAGAGATATTTTTACATCAACTACCCGACCCTATTATTCCAAAAGATACCCTTCCAGCTTATGTTCTTGCAGTTCAAGGTAAAGTAGGGTTCGTGTTTCTAATGTACAAAACAAACTAGTAATGAATTTTTAAAATCTGTCAAATAGTATACAGTAAGCATTCTACTCATTTTTAATTTCAATGTAGAGTTAATAAACTTTTTTAGTGTGTTTATTCAAAAGTAACAATAAATAAATATTTTTAGATTATAGGTATTAAAACTTTATTTGTTATCATTAATATATTTAATTTATATTATCAGATATACAGAAAGACAAGGAAGGCTGTATCTTGAAATTGAAAGGTCTGGTAGAAAAGCTACCATTAGATAATTTCAACACTTTGAAGTTTATTACCCAGTTTATTTTCCGTGTGAATCAAAAATACAGTGAACGTGAAGAGATTATGATCATGGGATTCAGTCTGGGATCAAAAATATTCAGGTCAGTTAGTGTTCATCAATTCCTCGACTGCAAACAAAGTATTAAAATGAATGTTCGTAACTGCACAATTAATTTATCCAGATATATAAATAAGGTTTCAGGGAGTATTTTGTATTTCCTGATAACTACTTGCATGTAATTGAAAAAATTTGCTATTCAACTTGAACAAGCTTCACAAGAAAATGGATTCTGTTCTTTTCTTTTTTTCTCATTGTTTTAACTGAATACATTTTTTATATAGGGAACACTTTTAAAGTTATGGTTGATTTTCATTCTTTAAAATAAATTAGAAATACATGAATGTTTATTTTAAAATTAAATAAGAATTGTCAGTAGTGTAAAATATTTATCCCAGTTCTATTTTCTGCAGAAAATGTTTAATTTTCTTATAGGTTATTCTTTTATAAGAAATATTGCTTGCAGCTGAGCATACTTGGTTTTCTTTTTATTAACTTTTATATTAATTAGGGGATTGAAAAGAGCATTTTTTTTTTTGTAAAAAATTAAGAAATGTGTGACAATTTTAAAAAAAAAGAAGAGAGAAAAATGTGATCTGTGCAATGTATTTCTTCCCTTTATATTGATTTCATAAGTGAATAAGAGGATTAATTATATAAGTAAATAACATTTTTCTTGAGAGATCAGTTAGATCAATTTAAAAATAATATGAAATAACCCAAAATACTTTTGATAGTGCACTAATAATTGGCTAGTGGTGTGAAATAGTTTTTTAATGAGTTATATGCACTTAAGTTGACTGAAAATGAATGTTTATTTCACAGACTTGCTTATGAAGGAGACAACCATAAAAACCAGTTGGTTTGTAATCTACTAATGGAGCTCCTTGTTTATGATTATAACATCATTTTTGAAAATGGTGTTGACCAATTATATGACGATAAGCCATTAAGAAGAAAATGTAATGATGATGATAATACTTTGGATGCACAAGATTCAGAAGTAGTTGCTTCAGCATATTCATTTAAATCTGTGGTACGTTTCAGGTTTTTATAATTGTATGTTATGTATTGATGATGTCATTTCATCAAAAGATCGATTATTGTGTGCCTAAGTATTCACAAATATTTTCTCTAAAGTCATAAATATTTCCAGTATCTTTCTAATTTTTTTATCAAAATAAAAATGTTTTGGGGGTTTTTGAAAATGCAAGAATATTTTTTTTATACTGCATGTTGATGCTACTTAAATAATGTTTGAAATAAAAATATTTAGAAAAAAAATTCAAAAATGGCTATTCTATTATTTGTATCATTAAAAAAAATTCTGGAAAAAAGTAGATATATTTTGAAAACCAGGTGGCATAAAAAGCATATTACTAACTTTATATGTTGTAAAATGTTTACTTTTTGTTTAAATGTTCTTTGCAGTATAAAAACTAATTTAATGCTTATGTACTGGGAGCTATTTTTAGTGGCTGAAATTTTTTAATTTTGGTTTATCTCACAAATATCTTTGTTCTTTATTATGTCAATTTTAAGACTATCAGTTCAATTTAATAATTCAAAATTATTTAGCTAATACACTTTAACTTTTTATACAAGGTATTTTTATTTTGCATTATTGTAGTACTGTTATCTGTACTATTTAGCAATTTTAGAAATACATATATTTTACTAGCAGAAATGTTTTTATTGTAGTGCATTTTTTCATATTTAATACGTTTTTGAACTTAAGTTTTATGTAATTAAAAATTTCTTGAAATTTGGTTGTAAAAGCATGAACCAGACCCTCTAAAATATATATAGTTACCAAATAGAAAGAGAGGTGTATATTTTTGATACAAGATGTATCTTTTATAGTATGTAAAATCCTTGTAGCTTATTGAGATAAATGAGTAGGACTTATTGAATTAAGTTATACTTAATCTAGTATTTTCCTTACACTAATTAGATTGTATTTTATTAAATATATGTAATAAAAACCATCTTGTGTTTCTAAACAGGCGAGTTTTTGTTCAGCATCAGCTGATCCATCAGTTAATCTCAAGCCATTATCTATTATAATTCCACCCATGGAAAAATATGATGCTGAAGATGTTTCATTAGAAGCTCGGGTACCAACACTTCTTGTTGACAGGTGAGCTGTGCTATGAGTCTTGTATAATCAAAGATTAGAATTTCCAAAAATGAAAGAACCCATCTATAAGTGAGCATATACATTGCAATATAATAAATCCCAGATCAGTTATTTGTACAGAGCATTAGTGTATATTTTACATATTTTGAAATAACTAAATATTGGTTTTCAGCCTGATAATCTAGGTCTTATCTGTTACTCTTTCTGGAATCTAATTCAAAAATACATATCCTATTTTTCAAGTGATTGTAGTCTGCTATTCAATGAAAATATTCTAAAAATTGAAATGACTTTCTAATATGGTGGGTATTCTATATTGACATAAGATAACTCTTGGAAGATCTTTAAAGCTGTTTTATAATTATATAGTTTTATAAATATATTTGAAACTAAAATTATTAATATATGCTAACTTTGGTATTATGTGATCTTTGAGGATATTTTTGTATATAAAAATTGTATATACTGAGTTGATTTGTCCATATATAGACATTTAAGTATTCAGGAAATGTGGTTTTCCTTCAGTATTCACAGAAGCTACTAACCTTACTGACTTTCCTTAAATTACTGTTACATCATTCTCATGCTTTGTAATCTGTCTGATGAAATAATCTAGCTGCTGGAGATAACTTGTACAAAGATATGCTTGTCTGAACAAGTATTCATGATTGTTACTTTCAGCAGTGTAGTTCAGAGCTTTAAGGAGCCATTGGTGAAATGCTTGGATATGCATACCATTCAACAACAATGTAAGTAAGATATATAATTCATATAAATCACTATTTAACCATTGGTGTAAATTAAATTGCAGTGATATTAGTATTTTCTTGTTTATTGGAGTAAATTAATACTAAATTCTGATCCAATAGTCACAGAATTAATTGATTATTAAAGTTCTTGTATGAAACATGCTTTGTTATGGTGTATCATTACGAAATATTAAATATTTATTTATAGAAATGAACTCAAAGCTAATGTCAAAAATGGATTAGATGAATGTTTATTGCTAAACCTATTGAGAATTTGTGAATGGTAGATTATAATTTCTCCATGTTATATACTAATCAATTTTGAAAGAGGAAATTGATCAGGTTTTGTAGAAATTAATAATTTGTCACTGTTTGAAAAGAAGTTCAGCAATTAGTGACTTCTAGGAGTTTGGAAAGTACTTTTTAAATAAATATAATAGATAAGTATTCAAAATCTGGGCAGGGGCTATCTTGTGCATATTTGATTTTTTACACCATTTTAATAGATTTGAAGTTTTCTGTAATATAAGATAATTGATTATACTTGTTTTGAATTCAACCTAGAAAATATATTATTGGAAAATAACTTGTACAGAAATTGTAGATAAACTAAGGATGTAGAAGAGTAATAGAACATTTGGATTTTAATTCTTTTGTTGTTAGTGAAGTATTAGTACAGAATCATTCTCTGTAATCAAAAAAAAATTGCATAAATAGATTAAAAGTTTGCAACATGCAGTTAAAAATTTCACCTATAAAATATGGTATTTGTTGGTATTTTAAAATTATCATATATGTGTGTGTGTGTATCTATATTATTCATTTAAATATTAAGTCAAAAATATCTTAAAGTAATACAATTATTAAATTTAAATGCTAAATGTGTAAAATTGAATTTGTGCATATTAACAATGTTCAGTAGTATTGTTGCTTTATTTATTTTTTTCTGATTTAAGCATTACCTCACCAAGGTAGAAAGCGTAAGGAGCGTAGACCATCAAAAGAAGAATGCCTACTGATACAGTCAAGCTTTGTTGAACGAAAATCAGCTGACCCTGTAATGTTTTGGGAGCTTTCTCAAAACATCAGTCAAGATGAAACAAGAATTATGGTATCTTCAGATACCAAAATCATAGAGACAAGAGAACCAAGTGTTTCTGTAAGTTATACAGCATTTGTATGTAAAATGTAGACATAGTTGATAATAAATTAAAAAAAGGTGAAATGTACGGTTTCTTGTATTAACTCTTTTTAGGCATATGCAGCTATGAGTTATTTTATAGACTGACACTATCAGCTTGTTATGAGATAACAAAAAAATCTGGCATTTCTTGTGTTCGTCCTGTTTTTTTATTGATATAAGCTTTCATGATTTAAATTGGTGTTGGTTGGCTATTTGAGATAGTTGTGATGACCATCTTAATGATAGAATATACGAGTAGCTGCACTTAACATTATTCGTCTGTTTAACTTCACATTGATAATCATATAAGTTTAAAGACTGTTTAACTAAGACTTAAAACACAGTCAATGTTCCTGTTTATTGTAGATCACAAAATGGCGTGACCATCTAGGGTCTATGCTCACAGCAGAACTGAGTCCTCACCCTCCATTGGCTAAGCGACAAGAACTTGAATCATTCTTAGAATTAGAATATAAGATACCTATCCAGGACATTGTGGGACAATCAGATTCTCTTTTTGAAACGTGTAACGTCAGTGAATTCCATGAGGTTCAGCGTAGTGCAGAACGTATGGCTCCAGTAAGTATCAACAGATTTGTTACTTATCTTGCAGACAATCTTAGAGTAAGTTAAAAATTATCAGCATGAACAGTGCAACATTTTAGTAAAATATATCTGTACATAAGACATGTTTTCATGTTCAACTCTTTATATAAATCTTTTGACATTTAATTTTCTATGTGTCTCATGATCCTACTCTCTTCTAGTACCAAAAGTTTGCCATTTTTAACTAAAGCACTTTGTATTTATTGTACCTATTTAATTTTTTATAGAAAATTAAGTTTTAATAGATTTTTCATGTATTATATTCTGTTTCATCACATAAGTGATTTTTTTATTTGTAGCTCAAGAAATTACTAATTAACTTGACAGTATTATTTCTATTTTAAAATAAATTATTAGCTGTACCAAATAGAAAGAAATAATAGTATTCGTTCTCATAAATTAGTAAATTATGTATTTATATTTTTTAATGAGTGACATTTGAAACTCATGCAAGTCTATGCAAAGAGGTGTGTATTTGTTAATAACTAATATTACTCTTAAGGCAATTTTTTCCATGTTTTTAATGTAAGAGTTTATGAATGATGCATTAAATTCACTTTTATTTGCATTTTGTTATGCATACTATCAAATGTAATGCTGAAAATTCTTTGACCTACCAGGAGTAATAGTTTCTCAAGATAAATCAAGGTCAAATGTTACATCATAGAAATACAAACTATATAAAATTTAATCTAAAGTATAAAACAGTTTATTACAAACACTGATAATTATAGTCTACTCTGATATATTCTTGTTAAACTCCTCAAAGATTTTTACAATAACAAATATATCATATTTTTATAATGATTGCTAAAAACATTAAAAATCTATAAAAATACAAGATATAATTTATGAAATTGATATGTTTTATAGTTGGTTTTAGCTTTTGAGCTACTAGCTAACTAGTAGAGATTTGAATCTGAGTTTGGTGTTATCATTCAGTAACTAATCCAGTGGAGAAAGTTACTAATTGAAAAAATAGAATTATCTTACAAACAAGATAGTTCATAAGTCTTAGCTGTTGTTGCTGCTACTACTACTAGATTTTTTTTTTTTTTACTAAATTTGGAATTATCGTTTGTTTTTAATTTTTGTGTTGGTAAAAGTAAGTGGCTACACAATGTTGATATATGTAAAGTATAGCTATATCTTGCTTTACATTACAAATTAAGTAGATGCATTTTGTATTTTAATCTTTCTTACATTTTTATATGTTCATAAATAAACTTATGTTTGTTCAGTTTTTATATAGAATTAACTATTAGTATCATATTTCTCATGTATTGTTATGTTTCACCATATAAGTTAATTTTTTTTGTTTGTAGCTCAAACAACCCTTATATCAGAAAAGTATGCACACAGTAAATAATGTGATGGACAAACAACTGAAACCTAAGTCAGAATCCTGTGAAAATCAAGTAGAATCTGATGTCAGAAAAAATAATTCTTATTTTGGTAAAGTACCAGTTAAAACATGCAAGAATTCTGTGACAAAAATGGAAGAAAGCTGTAAAGACAGCTTTAAAGAGAATTATGAAAGAAAGAAATTTCCTTCAGATAGACTTCACACACAACCTAACAGTAAATATCATGTTGGTTGTGACAAATATGGGCATTATTTACCTATGTGTAAACATGGTTCTCATCAAGGTTGTGAAAGAATACCTGCTTTGCAAAGTGGCAGTAAACTTTCTCATCCATTGTTAGAAGTTCATCCTGTCAACACTGTGGATGCAAATTATTACAGTGATGATGATACTAGTAATGAAAACACTATTCCTTCCTTTGATTTCACGTTTTCAAGTGATCGTGAAGATGTTCAAGGTAGAGTTTGAATTGTGAAACTTTTTATGCAGTTTATTTGGTATAAATGGAATTTCGTTTTTTTAAACTATTGTGAATTCGTAATGAACCTTAAGGAGGAGATTTTTTTTCACTTGTTTTATTATTTATTATGACTTAGAATAATTGGATTTCTTGTTAACTGCATTCAGTTTGTTTCGAACATTGCCTGGTATATTTACATAAACAATGAGGGTTGTGAAATAGAAAGTGTGTTTTAGTAGATATTATTAAGGGTATATCTGTGTAAATGATCATTTGATAACTAGTCTAATTGGTTTAATACTGTCATACTCTCATGGGAAACCAAGTAATACCCTTTTTAGGGATAACTTATTTCAAATTACTTAAAATGTTTATATTCATGTGTGTGAGTGTGTACACGTATGTGTATAATATGATGAGTGAACAGGGTTACAACTATTTATAAGATTTCATTATTGTGTTTAAGATAGCTTTATTAATTTTTTTTGGGGTGGGTGAGACATGCTAAAACAACATACCCACACTGTTTTGTAACTAGTAGTGTTTTGAGCAATGTTGCATGTATATGGAACATAAGATTTTTAGGCTTGAACAAACTTTGGCTATCTTCACAAAAAATATTCATAACAGAAACTGCAGGCTTTAAGACTATCTAAAGGTCAATGAAGCAGAAAGTTGTTTTTGTATTACTTAGGGAGGGGATAAGAGGTTTACACACTTGCATTTTAACATTTCTTGTATATACTGTTATTTAGCTATGCTATTAATCATTGATAGGCATAAATATAAGTATAAACATATACATCTTTAAAAAAATAATGAAATTAGAACACTTGGTATTTGGAAATGATTAATAGCAAGAGTGACGAGTTAATATTATTTTTTAGTTTTTAGTTCTTGCATAATATGATAGAAAAATAGTCATTAGTAAAATATTCCTACAGATGAAATAACATTTTATAAAAAAGTATGAAACAAAAAATAAATTATAGAAATGATAGTTTCTGTACTATGCTGTTTATGTACGTATTTATCTATTTATCTCTAATGTAGGACTTGTTACAGACAGTTCTTTTATCTGCAGTGCACTATAAAAAAATTTTTGAATGTAGATTTAAAGATCACAAATTAAAAAGCTCATTTAATACAAAAAAATAAAATCTCTACTTAAAGCATTAACTGTACAGCATTTAATTTCTATGAATTAAACCATCTTTATTTGAATAATAAATACAAAACACTTATTTTCATGAATGCAAACATAATCATGCTCACAACTGGTTACATTTATGTTAGTTAACATACATACATAAGTCTTTTTTTTGTGTGTGTGTGTTGCTCCAACTCTGTACTAGGTTAACAAAATAAATTATGGTAAGATCTATATAAATATACTTTCTCCTCCTGTCAAGGATAATAAACAGTTGAAAATTATTTTTATCAGCTGATGATTATCAATGCAAATTGTAATCTGCAAATTGCTGCTAGAAGTATGTTAGTAACCTAAAGTATCCTAATATAATAGGATGTTCATAATAGTTTTTCAAATGAGCAGTTCATTATAAAATCTAACATCTAAAAATATAGGTGCTTCAGAAGGATTTTGTACTATAATATGCTAATGAGCCCCTATTTACACTGTGTAATTTCACGTGTGTCCACCACTGGTACATTGTCTGAAGTACAGGAATTTCACTTTTCTTTTCTATAGGCTCAAATATGACAGAAATATTATTCATAGATTACACTTGTTATACTCTTAAGTTTATTACATATTGAGAATGATAATCTTAATTTGTTCATGCAGAATAATAAATAAATTTGATCCTGAAAATCTGTAATATTATTTTCATCAGAACCTGTTCTTTCTGAGCATCGTCACAGTTGGCCACTTACAACTAGTGGTTTGGAAGATCCTATGCTTTCACCATCATTTTATCATCTGAAGAAAACGAAGTGAGTGTTGTTGTTGAAAGTAAAATAGGGATGAAAGTAGGAGTTTTATCTTTCTTAAACACATTTCTGTTTAAAAGCTTACAGCTTTGTTTTTTTGAAATGTAGAAAACAAATGATTTTTGTAGCATAATGTGTATTTTTTTTCTTAATTTTAAGGTCTTTATTTAATTTCTAGCTGCCAGTGTCTAAAATTTTAATAAAGAATAAATTAATATAATAACTTTATCAGCATAACTGCACAAAAGTATTATCAGTAAAAAAAAAACTGTTCTGTGCACCTTTGCATATAACTCAAATGTCTTTGTCAACCCTCAAATTACAGACTTGTTTTTATACTGTTTACTTCTAGTGGAATCCACATACTGCAGCATGTTTAGTAATTTTATGTTCTTGCCCATTGCAACACTCACTGTAAAGAACTGGGCAAACATTGAGAGAAGTCATTCAGTTTCTATGTAAAATTTATGAAAAACTAGCAAGAATTAGTGGAATTAATTTTAATATTAATGGTATCTTCAAGTTGAAGTTCTATCTTCAGTATGAAGCATGGCATGCTGATAGCAATAAAATTCCATTTGCTGGTGCAGTTATTATATCTGCCTGTAAATATTTTTGGTCAAGTGTATTTCAATTTGGAAGATTCAGAAAAATAATGTGAATTAGTTACTACTTAAGGCTAATTTGCTGTAAATCACAGACTGTTGTACATGTATTTAGCAATGTGAATTTAAAAACTGTTTTTTTTGTCTTTTTTTTTCCATGAAAATTGCCACAAAATATGTAATACCCACATTGTGACCATGTAAAAAATGAGCTAGGTAATTTAATACAAAATGATTTTTTAGTGTAACTACTTATAATTTCAAACTTTTCTTGAACAGTCCAGTAACTTGTGTAGCTATAAAACTGATAGAGCAAATATGATGAAATTGCTAAACCTGTTTCCAGTTAAGATAAATGTAAAAACAAAGTATAGGTTGGTTGCTTGTCATGAAAGGATAATACATCAGGCATTCAGCCTTGAAATATTATTGTAACATTTTAGTGGAATAGATATGTTGAAAGCAAAATGGAATAATAGAAAAGAATGTATGGCCTTTTTGTTTTCATAAAATTTTGTAAATATTTGAATAAAGAGAATCTATAGTTATGGAATCATATATGCTCATACTTCAACTTGTCATAAATAGCTATTTCTGGTAGAATAGCATCTACTTTTGTCACAGTGCTGCGACAGTTATGATATCTTAAATTTTTTTTAATTGGACTTGAAGAGTGATTAAAAAAGGTTGTTTTTATTTCATTAAAGAGTTTTTGAGGAAGCATCAGTTAAAAAAAATTATCATAACATCTTTCTAAGCCAGAAATAAAATGTATGTTTCTTTTGTTTACAGTTCTTTTGAAGCTTCTTTATCTCTAAGTGCTGGAATTTGTCTTCCACATCTTAGGTTAGTATCAAAATAATCTCTTCTTTAGCAGTTTTTTTAAGTTAACTAAATAGTCTGAAGGGATTTAAAACATATTAAATGATTTCAAATACTTTGAGTCCACTAAACTTCTATTACTTTTAATGTTTTGATGTTCTTTTAGATACTAAATGTTCATGACTATTTTTGAATATTTATAATTGTATGTTGATTAGTAAAAGTTTATATTTTACTTGTGTTTCAAATTGTACATGGTTAATAAAAAAAAAATAACTGGCAACTTTCTGTTCAGTAGTTCAAAATCAGGTAAGACTATATCTGAATCCTATGGTTCTCTGATTTGGTCATTTATCCCACATTTAACGTAAGGTGCCATTCAAATTGGAAAAACCAGTATCTGTTGATAAAGTTGTGAAGTTCTTGTATCAATATTGCATACTCTTAACTTTATTTCAAACTGGCTATGATACATTTTTTCATGTCGCTTCATTATGTAGGTTTGTCACTTTTGTAATGTTCTGGTACTATGTTAATCTCCTTTATCTTTAGTGTTGCTTAAACATCTCTATTCATTTTCTGAGAATCGGAATTAAATAAATATATATATTATTTCTTTCACTGTTCAATTACTTGTAATTTTCAAATGATCAGTTTGGTTTTAAGTAATAAACTTTGTCCATTTATGAAAAACCTGTATAGTGTTTTTATACGTATTTAAATATAATTGTAAGTATTTTTAACTTCATCACCTGTTTTGTGGTTCTTTATTCATCAAGTTGAGTTGCTTCAATGATGAAAAGAATAGCCTTTTTCAGTTCACTCATTTTGGGACTGGTCATTGTTAGAGAATATCTCTCCATAATCATAAATCGGGTTATTTCAGAGCAAAAAAAAAAAGTATGAAATGGTGAATATATAAACAAAACATTACTTCAGAATTTCACTGAGTGTCATACCTTACCATCAATGGGACATTTCTATGCTAATGAAATACTAAGATGATTCAAAGCTGCATTGTATACTAAGTCGTAGTGTGGGTGTTAATACGTAACGTATACAAAGATTGAAGATAGCCAACCACAAACATCCTGTTGAAATTAAGTAGGGTAAAAATGATGTTTATAGAAAAGTATACCATTTAGATATCTGTTTCTGTAAACATGTTTAATAGTCAACAATTACATGAAAGTGTACCAGCCTAACATGAATTCTCAAATAAAAGATGCTAGTTTTGATTCTCTTTCTAATTGTGCAATTTATCTCAGTAAATTTGTTATTGTACAGTTTGAAATAGACTGAATTTTAGATTTGAAAAATTGCATCTTTTTTGCTGTAAGAAATTTCTGAACGTCTAAGAAAATAATTTTATTTTCTCTAAAATATAATCATGAACTATTTTTGACTAAATATTTTTGTCTAACTTAGTTTTTTTTTTTTTATATAATATGTATTAGATCTTTGGATCCAAACATACCTCCTTCTTCACCCAAAGACCAACATGTTTTTACAAATAGGTAAGTAGATTGCCAAATGTGAGAGAATGTCAGGGTAATTTTTTTCTTTTATTTTATGAAAAGGTATTAAGATTCTCAATTTTATAAAGCTAAAGATGATTGATGTCAGAAAGGCATCACTTTGATTCCCTGTGTAATTATTTCTGTGTAGAGATCCTGTTCTTTTAACTTGAGTTTTGTATGTAAATTTCATATAGTTTAAAAGAAATAATAGATATACTAATATAGTTCTTCAATATATTGATGAAGCACTTTAACCAGTGTTATTGGTCAGAAGTAGATCTTTTAACAAATATTGTACTAGTTTTTAAGAAAATCAGCCTCAGAATGTAAAAAATTGCATGCTGTAAAGTTAGGCTGCTTTCAGTTAAAACATTATTTTAAAAAATTTTTTGAGAATACCACAGAAAAGAGTGATGGTGCTGCTCAATTTGTTTACAATCTATGTAATCAATATTTGTTTATTTTTAATTGTTGTTCTGAAAATTAAAGCATTTTAGATGCCTTAAAATAAGTGTTAGACCTTAGACTTCAGATAAGGTAAGATTTGTCAGTGGTCTGCTGTACAAATGGCTGGAGTTTATACTTTTGATAAAGGTGCAATACTAAAAATTCGTTCAGAAAAGTTAATATTAGCTTATTTCAACATCTAAATAGGCTTATTTTTCAACCTTTAGTATCAAAACTGGCTTTGCTTTGTGTATCTTAATTCTTAAAAAACAATTTAATATTTAACTTTTTTTATTCATGCAATAATGGTAAAATTTTGTTAATTTCAATGAAGCAATATATTTTCTTTTCCAAAGAATATACCAGTATTTGTGTAATATAGATTCTAATATAAAGGAGATTGTTTATTCTGAGAATTCAGTGTAGTCTTTCTTATTTAAATGTTTCTGATATAAAATATTTAAGGTTCAAAACATCTGAATTGAGTTTATTTTTTCTGATTTTCTAGGGTGTTTAAAAATAAGGATAAAATCACATCTTCGATTAAACAACTAACAAAGAAGATCCATAGTAAGTTGAAATATTTGTTACTATTGTTTCATGGACAGAAATATTTAACAAGTAATTTGGTACACACTTTCTATATAATACATAGTTTGTGCTTGAAACCATATATATAATTTGGTTTAGTATTTGTTTAATGTTTTAGGTTGTGAAGTTTTGGAAAAATTTGTTGTGAAACAATGTTTTGAAAAACATTAAAAAAATAATTTCTTTAATCTTAGTTTTTCTATTGATTGTTTGCATAAAATTATGTAAATATATCCAATAATTATTTTTTCAAGAAAACACATTTTTATATCTATGTTCTAGTAATAGCATGATCATTTTCTCATCTGTGTATACAAGCGCTTATGTACAATGAAAGTAACTATTGAAAAAAATATCGATAAAAAATTTCAATTTTGTATATTTAGTGATCTCTAACTTGTTTTATTTTCATCAGTTGTTTTTATTTGTTATTTAACTTTTACCTATTGAGGCAGTTATGTAGCCATGAAATTACCATAACTCCAATGAACAGGGAAAACTTTGACCAATATAAACACAATTTTCACTTCTGTCCTAGGCATACATCGATATAAACAATATATTTCCAAGTAGATTTTTGGGAAAGCTTAATTTCACTGTAGAAACTATCATTTTTATCAATATGTAAGGAGTTATTGTACTTTGTTTTTCGTTTTTTCTGAGTAACAATAACTTTATTAACACACACACAAATAAAACAAGGTTTTGTGTCATCTCAATAATTTGCTGCTACAGAATTCCTAGCTAAATTGTTACTACAAACCCTAACTATTTTTTACCCAATATCTTCTCACAGAAGGATATTCCTGTAACTTTCATAAAGAAGAAACACCAAAAGAGTGATTACAAACAAAAACATGATCACAAGAAACTCCAAAAAAAATACTCAGGTTTTAGCTTGTTCCAAAGTGTTATAAACTACATATTAGAATTCTATGTTCTCCATTATGAGAACTTCTGCTAGTCAGTTTCTCAGAAACCCTAAATTACTGCTTATCCCATTTTATTACATTGACATAGATAGACAAGAATCATTTCTGTCCAATCATTTTTGGCCATTAGTTCTATTTGGTTTCAAGGCTAAGATATATTAGTTACAGCTCAACTCACTTGAAACCTCTACATACTGGGTTCTTAAAATAAAACCACTAAGAGAAAAGTCATGTGAGAAACAAAACATGGATAAGTCTATTTCTAAGGGATGACAATTTCTGAGTAAATTAAATAAACCTATGTTTTGGATTGGCAGAAAAACTATAAAATCTATAAGGGCATTGTTTACATTGGTGTTGCACAGAAATATAGGTTAATACATTTTGGTAGGTATTTTTATGCAAGTTACACTAAATAAATTTTGCATGTCACAAAATATCAATTCTTAAATATTTTTGAGTAAAAAGATCTTGAAATAAGAGCTAGAATTACTAATTTCACTTAATTTTAAAATTTACATGCACTGAACTCGGGAAAGCTGCTTTCTGGTTGTAATAGATTTAATAGAATTTTGGTATCATATTAGTTTATATTTTTATATAAGCTAACAGATATTTATTAGGCCTAGAAATAAGAAGATCTACCAGAAAAAAGCTAAACGTCTAAAAAAAATCTTCCATGCCATATACACATGTACTGCTTTAAGTACAGTAACCATAATTTGTTGTATGGTCAGTTAACGTGGATGTAGAAGATTCATACAAGAACACAGAGTGCATATTTCAGTTACATTTGCATAGTTTTATATCAAAAGTACTATATGAAATGCATTCAGTATGTTTTGTGATTAGTCAGAGAACAATGTCACATAGTAAATGTTGGTTAGCTTTTACCAAACTTTTACTAAGATCAAAATAAATAACTGAATAAATATCTAATTTAGGTATGTTACCAGATGCAGTTCGTGAATTCTATTTTTAAAAAATCCACTTGTTATTGTGTGTGTGTGTTGTATATTTGAACTTTGTGAAGTTCATATTTCTTTGTAAATAAGTTGCATGACAGGAAAGTATTTGTTACGAGCTTCTGAACTTTAAAAACTTTATAAAGTATTGCTTACAGAAATATTTTTTTGACACTTTAGTTGAGATTTAAAGTCGTGTCTTTTCCTCAGAACTAAAGAAGAAGATTCGACATTTTGAAGAGAACTTTGAAGGAGATTATGGTTTTAGAGTGAGTAACTCCATATTCTAATTTTTTTGTCAGGGTTTTAAAGGGGTGGGAGGAGACACCACTTAGGCCTACTTTATATTCTGAAGCACGTTGATGTATTCCTATAACCAAAACTGTTAACACAGCAATGTAGTGATATACCAATGACAACTCACTCTATGAACCATATCCATGTAGATATTCTTGACATAAGTTAACTTCTGTCTTCCACGGTCTCTCCTTTCTTCAACCTTTCCAATTACGACTAGACTTTCAAGTTCTTATTTACTCGTAAAGTGTCTGAGAAACTTCAACTGTCTTTTTCTGATGTTAGTCAGCAGCTTTCTCCTGCAAACCACGCTTGACAAAATATCTTCATTTGAAGATTGACTTGTCCAACATACCTTCAATATGTGCTTTAAGAACCACGTGCTCCTGCTGGTATTAAGTAAATGTGTTACTTTTGTTTGAATATGATGATTTTTAGAATTAACTGTGAGTTATCATTCATATAATTGTAGATTAAAATTTTTTATGTTTACAGCCCTCTCATGCTGATAAAATGAATTATCCTGAAGTGAAAAAAATGATGACTGAGCTTAACAAACTTCGGAAAGATCTCAAAGGTTAGTTGAGAAAATGCCATATTTCAGTGAAAGTAATTTGAACAGAGGGCAGAACAAAATATTAATTGATTAAATAATCATTTATTCCAATAAATGAGAAACATTCTTGTGCATTGCTTTTGAAATTTCCATGAAAACTATATATATTCATATGTAGTATCATACACGTTTTGCCCATCTACCTTGAATTTTTAAAAGTATTAGAATTTCTTCATTATTGAGATCTTTGAGTTATGTGGTTGTTACTATATCTGGGTCCTTGTTATCCATTAATCAGTTCATGTTTAAAAAT